ACAAAATTTGCAAATGAAAACTTTCAACATAAGATAACATGACACATTTTTTAGTTAAAAGAAAGGGAAAATGACATTATCCCCCCATAATAATGTTTTTCCACATCAAATCCCCGACTCATTGCACGGTATCAACGAAAAACCAAGTGCTAATTCTTTTCTCATACAACCCCCCACCGCCCCATGTGAGTAAGTCATTATATTATAGACAAAAATGCCCCTTCTCTACTACTACTTTCCTTCCCCTTTCCTCACTCTATCAAACAAAACAAGGTCCAAACTGTCGTTAAAGAGATAGCTTGTGGTTTCCCGGAATGAGCAGCAACATTTAGGAGGAACTTTGTTAGTAAAATTTATGAGATAAAGCTTGTTCCTAGTAGGTGCTAAATAACCTTCTTTTTTTTTTTTGCCTCCTGCCAATAACCTTTTGAAGATATCACAGGATCCGAATTCCCTGCAGCTATTCGTGAAATTTCCAAGGGATTCCAAATTTGAAATCAGTAAGTATAGATTTCCCCAAGAAAGAGCGCAATTTTGAATATCAAAAAATAAAAAGTAATTAATAGAGGAAAAAACAGTATAAGAATAGGCATTGAGTCAAGATATAAGCCAAATAACTCAGTGCTGTATAAAAATATACAAAAGGGTAAACAGAGTTTCTAAAGAAAAAAAGGCAGAGCAAACAGAGCATATCCATACGCAATAATAAATATTGCCCATAGAAAATTCTCAGGAAAAGAAAAAAAATTACCATAACAACACTGAAATCTGTATAAATCCTTGATGGTGATAATAAACAAAAAATTGAAACAAAAAATAGAAAAATCAACAGGACAAAAATTAAATAAAGGCGTGCATGCTTCGTATAAGAAAGGATATGAGCAGTGATGATGGGATCATGAAACATGAAAGAAATTGAAAGGGATGACAATCTATCGTTCTATACATTAATTCAAAGTAAGAGAAAGAGAGAGGTGTCCAGGACATCAATTCCAAGAACTAGAGATAGAGAGAGAGATAGGTTTTGTAAGTTTCACGGGCAGAGAGAGCATGGAGCGAGAGGCCTATGATATGTGGGTCTATAGGTATGGTACTCTTGTGGCAGAAGGTCTCAAGATAGGGTGGTGTAATATTCCCAAAAAGTAATTAGCATACCAAAAGGAAGTCCACAAGCCTAGTAACAGGGATGGAAAGCACAATGATCCTTACAGCAATGCATTAGGCACTTAAAAACTAACATAGCCACATACTTATCATGGCCTGACTTGTGTTTCATCCAAGGGTTCTGCCAGTCCAAATGATTATCATGCAACTATAAAAAGATGCTAAAGAAAGAGTTGCTGTGGTTTATAGGGCATGGTATCACAAACCCAGAGTTTGAGGAGAAACATGCGAAGATTTTGAATAGATTGAGGAGCAATAGAGGGGTCTGCAGTGTCAGAATGGTGATTTAATTCAATGATAAGTTTCCTGAAGGTATCCTTGCAGAAGATTAAGTTTTTCCACCAACATCATCTTCCAACGAGTTTAGCTCTTCAACCACAAACAGAAGACCACATACACTGTGGAACCTTTAACAACTACAATGCATCAGACAGAAGACCACATATACTGTGGAACCTTTAACAACTACAAAGCATCAGACAGAGCATTTGCATACTTTGAACATAAGTCATCTCCTACAGGATGTGAATCACAAACAGGACACAAGTTAAGCTTTGGATATACATCTAATCTAAACTAGATATAGTGGCTTTTTCCGGGCTGTCTGGTGGTACAGTTTATCCTTAAACTTTTTAGCAGATGTAGGTAAGGATAGGTCAGCTACGATTTGGGACTTGGACATTCTTCAGTGGCACTCAGGGCCCTAATCACCAAGCCTAGAGTTCAATCATCACTTTATATATAATCATCGTCTAAGTTGCAGGTTGAATCCCAAAAACCAAGAGAAGATGAAATCGTATCTTGGTTCAAGCAAACCCATAAATGTCCTCCAAATAACATAGCGAATATTACTAATAAACGATAAAACATAGAGACCTCCAAGTCCCATCTCCAGTTGTCCCTCGCAAGAAAACCAATGGTAACCACAATCTGTTTCAGCCAAGAATATTGCATTTCAGACTACTTCAACTCCTTGTTTCATACTTGTTGGCTAGTTCTGTAATTCAGTTGGTTGAAACTGCTTTACCATCTTCCAGATTCCCATAATGAACATATTTTACACACATCAACAGCTATGCTCTGTGGTTGCAGCATTTAATTCACTGGACATAGGTCATGGGTTGCTAGAAGCTAAGAGAGTCAATGCATCCTTGGATAGGAGCCCCAAAACCCAGAGTTAATGAAAAGGGAACAGATAATGCTCTCAGCTTTGAGGCCAAAGGGGATCAAGTAAGGACCGCCTAAAATCCCTTGGTCAGTGCATGTGTTAAGTTTGGCCTATAAGTCCTAGGATGCAAGTGTTAGAAAGAATGGTTCTTACTCTGAATATGTTAAGTTTGGCCTATAAGTTCGATGATGGAAGTGTTAGAAATAATGGTTCTTACTCTAATCCAATGCCTCCAAAAGTCACATAGTGAAACTAAATAGTGAATTTTAATTCCAGAGCAGGCATTAAACAAACGTCCAACTGCAGAATATGAATGGTCATAATAACTATCTTACAAGCTTGGGAGCTTTCACATTTTCCCCATCATGAAAATAGTGACATGGATCTCCTTTCTGTCATACAGGCCAAGTTACAGTACCACTGCTACACCATCTACCTCTTTGCAACAAAGTAAATCACAATGAATATCGCATCATGGGATATACAATGTCATAAATCAATCAACGAGTAAACAAAATGGTGAATTCAGATCTTATTCAAGGAAATACGTTGGATCTCCATCTCAGGAAAAAGAAACAAGTTGAACTTCTTCATCTCCCACTCCAGCTCTCCCTCATGGAACCTTTTAGAGTATCATGTCAACCCTAGACGAGGTTTTTGGAGGACAAAAAAGGGCAGGCAGCAAATAAATAAAAGCAATATTGTTGAACCCCCATGACATGAGAAATTGATTCAACGCGACACAGGCACTTGTCTCAGGCAAGAGAAAAGCATCTAGATGTAAGGTCGCCGTCATACGTGCCTACCCAAGTAGGGCCGTAACCCGGTGCTGGTCCCGCCTAAGCAGGGTCCCGGGAGTGTTGGGCTTGAAACAGTCCTAACATTTGGCTTATGCACAAAGTGGCCGCTCGCAGGACTTGAACCCATAATTGTTCAAAAAAGCGGACCACCTAGCGCCTAAGCGGTCCAAAAGGCTTGGGCGCATCGCCCAGGCCTAGGCGGCCAAACTGGGCGGTGGTCCTCCGGCGGCTGCCTAGGCGCTACCGTACCGCCTAGGCGGCCGCCCCGGGCTTGCGCCCTGCCTAGAGGCCGAAAATTTTTTTTTTTTTTTTCGTTTTTTTCAAGATATAAAAGTTTAGAAATACGGGTTTTAGGTTCATTTGAAACCTAAACCCCCAAGAAACTCTTTTAGAGAGAAAGAAACCTCCAAAAAACTACATTTCATTGGATCGAATCATTGAAGTGTTTCTCGAAGTTTGGAGTTCGAGCAACCAAAGTAAGTGTAACTTTTAGATTGCTTGTCTTATTTTGAGATGTCTTCTTCAGGAGTTAGTCGAAGTGGAGATCCGGGTTGGAAATATGGATACAACCCGAATCCAAATGACAAAAATTGCGTCAGATGTAATTTTTGTGAAAAAGATACAAAAGGAGGTATAAACCGGTTTAAGAAACAACTTACCGGTATTAAAAAGGATGTTGTCCGTTGTAAAAATGTTCCTGAAGCTATCAGAGAGGAGATTAAGCAATTTATAAGTTATGTAAAACAAAAACAAGAATAAAATCCTTGTCATAGATCTATTTCTGCTACTCCTAGAGAAAGCGATCCGTGTTGGAAGTATGGGTACAACCCCAAATCCAAATGATAAAAATTGTATAAGGTGTAATTTTTGTAAAAAAGATACCAATGGGGGTATTAGCCGATTCAAAAAACACCTTGCTGGTGTTAGAGGTAATGTTGCTTCTTGTACAAAGGTTCCTGAAGCAGTTCGGGATCAGATCCGACATCTTCTGAATTTTGGAGAACCAAAAAATGATGAAAATAAACCTTGTTCTATGAAAGTATCTTATCCAGGTTCTAGACGGAGTGGTGATCCGGGTTGGAAGTATGGTTATAACCCGATTCCAAGTGATAAAAATAATATTAAATGTAATTATTGTGGAAAGGATACTAATGGGGGCATTACCGATTTAAAAAACACCTTATCGGTATTAAGGGGCATGTTGCCCTTTGTAAAAATGTTCATGAGGCTACTAAGGAGGAAATTATACAATATTTGAGTCCAGAGAAGCACAAAGAAAAGGGTAGAGCGGTCAAGACTCTTAGGGCCTCATCTGCACAGACTAGTAAGAGGAAGGTAGAAGAAGAGGAGGAGGAAGAGGCAGATTCAGAAGAAACAGATGAGGACGAGCGTTATATTGAAGAGGGAGAGAACTCTGATGATGATGGCCTCCACTCTGATGCATATGATGAGGTTTGCCCTATTGATATTCCTTTTGATGATGATGATGATGACTGAAGACTCTTGCCTCTTGGTGCTGAGTGTTGAGTCTATTGACTGTTGTTTTGAGTCATGAGTGTTGACTTTTGTTATCCTGTATATTTTCTAAATTTATGTTGTGTTGAGTGTTGACTTTTATATCCTACCTACACTTGTATAGTTTTACAATTTACTGTTACAACAATATGGATTATCAAATTCTCTTCTCAACGTCTATCTTCTTTTTTTTTCAACTTGGAATATGGTATTATATTGGAAATAATTTGGTATAGTTTTTACTTTTTTTCAAATTTCAACTGGCAACTGCCAAGGTTCTCGGTGCCCTCCTAGGCGCCCGCCTAAGCGCTGGGCGGCCTGGACCCCCCAGGCCGCATAGGACCCGCTTAGCGCTTTTTGATACACAGTTATGCACAAAGTGGCTGCTCTCAGGACTTGAACCCGTACTCATGTGCTGAGTACCCTAGCCTTTTACCGTCACACCTAATGACGACCCCTACGTGCCTACCCAAGTACCTAAGGATATGTTGAGGATGAGACTTCCCCAAAGAAGCAGCCTAAAAGTGTGTACTATGCCAATAAAAAACTGCACATAGCCTGAGGCTTGCCCCTGACTTCATTCAAAATTTTACTTTTTGTGATGGATGACTTTGGTCACATTATTACCAGTTTACCACGAAAAATATTTGGAAGGATGTTAGCGAGCCAGAGCAGACACATGCCGACATGCATGTCCGCTTCTCTCTAGTGGTTCTAAATGTCTGAAAACAATTCCAAATTCTTATAGCTGCAAGTTGTAATGGAATCAATCCTCTGATCCATTAAATATTAGGGGGATAAATTGCCACTTAAGAAGAAATGTGGTACATTGATAGAGATGCAAGAGTTACTCATGATCCTGTAAGTTGTTTAAAAAGAAAATACTGGTAAGAGCACAAAGATACATTATTATCTTAACTACTCATGATCTATATGTTTCCAGGCAAACCTTCATGGCACCATTAGTTGCAATGGCACTTAGTGAAATGCTGGTCAAAAACGTACACAAGCCACACATTGCAACCAACACAAGGGACTCGCTTATGCCTGCCATGCCAACAATCCTGCAAAAACATGATCCATCACATGTCCAACTTGTGTAAAACTGAACAATAATGCATCAGAAGATAGCAAAAGGAGGTAAAAGAACAGAAGAGACAAAGATGGGACAAGGAAATAATGTCAAACAATGTTGCACCAGAAGAAATAATTTGGGACAAGGAAATAATGTCAAACAATGTTGCATCAGAAGAAATAATTTGATGCCGCCCTTATCAATCCCTTTTTTCTTATAACAATAACAAAAATCTGAATAAAAAAAGTTGCATACGCATTGACTGCAAAACAACTCATCCAGCATTAGTAATAAAGTAAACAATTATTAATTCTTCACTTTTTTTAAGTAAAAAATCATTGATCAGAAGTCCTCTTGCTCCTTTTGCATATTTATTCTTTTCCAAAGGAAACTCTAGGCATCCTTGGGATTATTTCAGATAAAGCCTCATATTCGTGGAACCAGTTTCTTGCATGTTTTCATGTGTGTGTAAATGCTTAATGCAGCTGGAGACCTAGAAACAATTTTACAAAGCAAAATTTGCAACCTGATGCTCATTTGTTATAGCATCCACCTACAAATCTAATTCCATATTTTGTTTAAGCCCCAAGCAAATTTTAATATCCAGTAAATCATGCAAGATTGTCTTGAGAAATTTAACCATTTTCTTCTCCCCTAACCCCCTAATATTTATCCCTATTGCAAAAATGTTGTACCAAACCTAGATGTCCATGAAGAGGAAAAGCATAAGTATACTTCATAAGTTAGACATCATCTATTTCTTTGTGGAGATCAGATAACATACTACAGATACAAAGTAATCAATAGCGCAAATAAGCATATGAAAATTTAGAAAATTCAACTACTAGGGGAGTGAGTTACCATGAGAAACGAATATAGTAGATGATTCCCAATATGTTTTGCAAACATGGGACAAACACGCCCATTAACGTCCCAAGTTTAATATCTGTTGTCTGCAAGGCATATCAAATCCACTTAAATATATTAACTTCAATCAAACAAACAACACAAGTTAAATCACTCTCTAAAGCAAGAATACTAGATTTCATTTAGCATAATATGCATGCCGAATCTTTCATAACTTGTGCATCACATTCTATTCAAGAAGAGCTGGCCAATCATTGGGTTTCTCCTTAGAAGGTATTTCGCTCATCTCTTCGATGTGAACAAATGTTCAGAAGACATGAAGATTCTGTTAATCCACAAAAAAAATGATGTGCAGGTTTCAATACCATTAACTTTTATGTTTAGTCAGTTTGGTGCTTAAAAAGAAATATTAATGGAGCAAACCAAATGTCTAAAAGTTGGATATGTTAATGCTATGAGTATTTTGACAACTTTAGCCCCACATTGTATCAACCAAATTCGTAACATTGAGAAGCTTGGGATCCCCAAGTTCAAATACAATTTAGGGACTGCAAGATAATAGTGTATTTTGCTCCAACTCTTCTCTCATAGGAATACCCCAACTTCTGTAAGATCATTGTTTACTGTTTTTTTTTTAGTTTTTCATGATAAGTCAACGCTTTCATTATTTTGGTTAAGGTTCACCAGTTATTTTATACCATTCATCTAATTTGTGTATTGATAAAGATCTGGAGCTCCATGCAAAATTACCTACAAAGGATGGCGAAAGGAAAAGCAATGATTTTTTTTCTTTAATCCATAGATGATAATCAGTTCCAATACTTTGCCTCATAACCACATGTTGTACAAAAAACATCATCATACAAATCCGTCATGTCAACAAAATGATTTTAATAGATGGTGGGCATTAGGTTATGGGACTAGTACGTCAACATGATGGTATCCAGAAAGGTCCAAAAGTCATTGTGAAAGGTTTAGAACTTATACATGCATATATGTTGATACAGAATATTTATGCGAAAGCAAAAAAATATTCCATTTACAAGTTCGGAACAGTTATCACAAAGTTCATTGCTAAGGACCCAAACAATAAACTCCAAGGAGCAAAAGCAGAGCGTCCCTTTGGCAGGAATGATAAGCATCACATTAAAAGCTAACATACCTTGGGACGTCCAAGAGTGATAGCAACATCCTCGCCATCCCTGGGACTAGAGGGTGCTGGAATTTGTTCCCCTGCCATACTGATGCATATGTTCAATCAAAACACCAATCATGCTATTTTAACACAACAAACAGAAGCAATTGTACTTCTTGCATGCAAGAAAAGGCAGAAATTGGGAAATATTTCAATATAATCTCAGTTACCTCCGTAGGCCCAGTATATTGACAAGAGAGTCAAAACCGAACAATTCCAGTTTTGAATCCCGGGATCTGCTAAACATGGAATGGCCAGGAGAAGAAGTTCCATCTCTAGCATTTGACCCTGCACTTGTCGGCGTATTCACTTTAATTTTCCTGTCACGATAAAAAAAGCATTTGGAGTTAAATGATGAAAACAGAAGATAAAGAAAAGAAGCCAATCAGAACTATATTCACTTCAATTTTCCTGTCACGATAAACAAAGCATTCAGAATAAGGCTTGGATCATGATGATGATGATGAAGTTCATTTTCACGTCTACTCAAGAACCGAAGATTTCCATCAGTCAAAAATCAGACAATTTAGAACTTGAAACGAAGAGATCCCATTAGATTTCATAACAACAGAGTTCGACCAAAAATACCACAACGCAGTCCAATTTTTATAGGGAACACTATTCTGTGAAGTTTCAAGTTATGAATGGCACGATCGAGTTTCCCATGCCATCTGTAGTGTTCCATGACTAATGTCAAAAGTAATTTCAATTGCTCTTTGAGCAACTAATGAATTATGAGACACCAAACTAATGACAACAAGAAATCATGAACTTCTAAAGTAGCCATTAAGAATCATTAAATTCAGAATGTAAAGCAAGAGAATACTAGTTCGAAGGGACGCAGAATATAAGTTGGATCTTAGACCTTCAAAGGAACCTCTGTGGAGGATAAATGCAAGAAGCAAGAAGAATGGAACCTTGTAGTATCACTTACTAAGTTTATGTAGAGAATAAGAAAGGAGAGAATCGCATCGGATTTAGAGGCACTGGAGTAATTATTGGCCAAAACGTACACAGAAATCTGTGAGGAAAATGGCAAATGAAACTTTCCATTGTAGTGGGTTGGGTAAAAAAGGCTCCTTTTTAGGGTCTCTATATTCTTATAATTGGAAATAAGGAAAAGACCACTGTTTAAACTCTCCAGTATAAGGGTCATCCAATGCGTGTCTTATATCAGGAGGATGAAAATACATAATATCATAATTAGCTTATGTTTAGTTTCTATGGTGTGCTTAAATTTCATTCACCTGTGATAAGGTGACATACATAATCCTATGCTTCTCACAACTCTAATGGCACTTGTGGGAGGGAGACAGACAACCAGATTTTTGAGGAAGCTCATTAAACCATGAACCACGCAATTGTTAGACAATCTTCCAAATTTGATCCAACAAGTCAATAAAATACTCATATCTGAAAATATAAAAAAATAAAAAAAAAGCCTCCAAAACATGAAATTCATCCACAAGTGGAAATTCAAATACTCAAACTTATATATATATATATATATATATATATATATATATATATCTTTGAATTTCCATTTATATATATATATATATATATATGGGTGTGGTTTGTATAAGGCTGAGGCCCTAACCAATCAAAACAAGGCGCACCTCTAAATAGTGCCAAAACATGTTGTTTCAATATCAAAAATCTTTGTGATGGCCTAAAATATTTATTTTTATCTCTAAGTATAAAATTTAAAGATTAAAAAATAGTGTAGATTGAACAAATCTATGAACACATGAAAATCTTGAAAATTGATGGTCTAGAATATATATATACATATAGGGAGTGGATTCTATCAACCCACGGGCTGGCTGCTACAGTATCAGTCAATGGCCCAGATTCAATCTGGGCTAATCTGACAGTTACAATCTCATTTCATATTTGAATTTATATTTTTTTTTTCCAACAAATACAAATCACTTTGAAATTTTAGGCGTTCATTCTTTTCATCAAGGCGCACCTAATTAAAAAAAAAAGAATTCGTAAAATATAAATTGACCAAAATACCCTCAAAATGTTCAGGGGTATTTGATCAATTGTATTTACGAATTA